AAACTCGCTTGGCCAGCCTCTGTCCTAGTGCAGCTCGACATCTGCCAAGCCTGAACACCCGCATCTTAAAAGCCGCAAGCCTGCGAGAGTGCTTCACCACCCTGCCCCCTTGCCTTTGGAGTATCGAAACGGCGCGGTGACAGGCCGCGCGGTGACATCGAGATCCCCCGAAGCTTCGCCGCGCGGCGCGTCAACGCACGCTTTCGGGGACCTCGGATGCCCCGGTCGCCCGAGACGCCCTCGGAGAACGACCCGAGTCCCAAAACCGCGCGGTGACCCCAAATCCCCGCCGACTCGCCGCGCGGCGTGGCCACCGCCCCTCCCGGGGGTCGCCGATTGTCTCGTCGGTCTCCGCCCTGTGTCATTTACGCCGGGATTAACAGCTGATTTGGCAGATAAAACCTTGCCCCCCCCCAAACCCCCCAAAAGTGCAGATGCCTTGGCCCCGACTGCTCTGGACGAGCAAACAAATGACGCTCTGTCCTCTGAGACCAGGCACATCATGTCGTTAGTGAGGGCGCAATGCAATTGCGATGCAGAGGGCATGATATCATCAATAACACGTGGTGCTGTGCCTGTGGATTGCACGCCGTAATCATCGATGTAGATGCTCAGGAACCCGCGCGCCGAATCGCCCGACAAGCCCATCGAAGGCATAGTGTATCCACGAACGAAGGCAGTGGCAAAGGAGCCCCCTGCAACCGCCCCATGTGTAGCAAACGTAACCACCACGCTTGCAATCGCCATGCATCTCGGCCCACGGTAGGCAACAATACATAGTCTGGACAACTGGGGCGGAAAGCCTGACTTGTCACGCCGCCCCAGAATGAAAGCGACTTGTCAGCTCCGAACGAGACGCGTGCGACTTAGAACGCTCGGTGGGGGCCTCCGCCTTGACCGCCTGTCTCCGAGCTGCCTCTGCTGCACCCGTAAACGCACCAGCTGCCAATCATGGGCGTTGGGGCCACCCTTTCCGCGCTGCAGCATATATTCTCCTCAGCCTGCCTCGCAGTCTTCAAAGAGAGGAACTGAACCAATCGGCCTCCAGCCCCCGGCTGGTTTGGGGGCGAGGGAGATCGACGCGCACCTGACCTGGTTGGGGGAAGTGGCCGCGGCTTCGATGACGCTGAAAATCGTAAAAAGGCAAGAGAGGGCACCGTCAGACAAAACGGCATGGCGACGCACGCGGAAGCCATCCACGCTGGCAGCCGACCGAGTTGGACAACTCTTAGACACACTGCGAATATCATCAGGCGTGGCAACCGACAGGTGCCCCAGGAAATCGATGTGGTCGGCCGTGGAAGGCTGTCTCGTAGCTCGCCAAAGGCCACCGGGGCGCGCCAATCAGGACAGGCGGCCTCGAAAGGAAATCCCCTGCTTCGCGCGAATGAACAGGCGGCGAGAGAAGTCCTCCGGCCCGCCCCCCTCCCCCCCCAGTGCGCCATGCGCGAAGGCTAGGTCCGCTGACGCCGCCTGCCTCGATGGCAGCAACAGCAGGAAGAGTGGCGACGCCGTCGCCAGCAGAACGTCCTGCGGAGCCCTCGAGGCGACGCGCCGCTAGGAATATTCTGGACGCCCCCCCCCACACCCCGCGTCGCTCTGACATCGCGCCGCTTCGGCCGACGCGAGACGCGACCATCTCCGCCAACTGCAGATCCCCGAGACACCTTCAGAAAACTCACCGTGCCGCGGGTTGCAAGGATGGGCGACGTAACTTGTCGATTCCCTTGGAGCTTCGGCCTTGTCGGCCCAGAGCTTGTAGAGAGCGGTAAGGTGTTTCTGCGCGGAGCCCCTGGAGGCTCGAGCGCGCGCGAGATCGAGCCCGAACTGTCCACAATCGATTTCCTCCTCCCTAGACGGCGGCTCAGGCGAAGGTCCAATCGCCTCATTGACTGGGAGAGATGGTTGTTTGACGAAACCGAGCGCCCGCAGATTCGAGATCTGCGCGAAGAATTGGGCCCTCACTGGCTCGCGCGGCCTCGCGCCCGCCCCATATCTGACAGTCGTGTGCTTGATGGCTTGGGACAGGCCGCTGGGCGCAGCGAAATAATCCAGCTCCCTAGCTCCTTCCTCGGGCGCGCCAATGCGCGCGCCCTGGGCATCCTGAGCGCCGCATTGGCAGCAAGAGACTAACCTAGATTACTCGCCTCGAGCTCCTGGGTTCCACGTTGAAAGCTGCCCCCGCCACGAAAGGGGCCTTGGTGCCGTGATAAGGGGGCCCTGAGGGAAGCGAGCATGCTAGGGTTGCGCTCCGAGAGGCCCTCCGAATCCTCGAGGTACGTGGAAATCACAGCAACTGCAGCGGCGATGCGATTGGGGGCCAGCTGAAGCCCATCTCCACGATCGTGCAAGCCCAGAAAGCTTCTACAACAAAATTCAACGCCTCCAGACGACCCGAGGCCAGCTCCAGGGGCAGCTGGCAGGACACGAGACTTCCAGCCCGCACGCAGAGCCCATGATGAAGCCTCTCCGACCTGCTCCTGGGAGACGAGGTGGCGCTCCTGCGCGTGGAGCAAGTGTGCCGATGTCCGACTTAACCACGACTTCGCGCCCCCCCAGCCCGTGCAATTCGCGGTCTCTATCGCCAACTCATGGTACTCAGGACTGTCCGAACTCGAGCAAGCTAGGGCCTGGAGACCTGCGCCAACTTCCAAGGATGGGGCCCTAGGCCATGGCCGGAGCGAAATCAGCCGGACAAGAATCACCAATACCTCGACCGCCCACGCAAGGACGACGAGGCCCATCTCCCCCTGGCGCATGCAGCGCCAGGGCGGGAGCTGGGTCTTGCCCCTAATGTCGGGTATACCTTCTACTAAAGCTATGAGCCACTCCGCTCCCCGCGGGCAGAGGGGCGGATGGGGGGGGCGGGTCGGGGCGACGGTCGAAGACTGGCTGAGAACGAGCACTGCGTCGCCTGCCTGGCGGAACCCCTCGGCCCGAGTTCCAGGGCTGGCTGCGCGTCGCCGGCGCCGCCAGGCAGGGCGACAAAAAGGAAAGACCCCCGTGCCCCGCCCACCCCGCGAGAAAAAGGCGCAAGAACACGACCGCCCACCCAAGGGCGACGAGACTCATCTCCCCCTGGCGCAGAAAGCGCCAGGACACGGAAGCTGCGTCTCGTCCCACATGTGGGGTATGCATACTGCTGGAGTTATGCCAAGCTACTAAGCCCCTCGCCTCCCTGGGCCCTGCTGGGCCCGCGGCAGACGGCGCGGGGCTAGATGGAAGGGGCCGCTGGCTGGGTGTCCTCGCTGCCGCTAGCTCCTTTGCATGCGCTGAGCACGGCTTTAGCCTTCTCGCGCGCATCGGCTGGCGGCGGCTCAGTGCCCATAGAAGCAGCTGGGACCTCTGAGCCTGCATCGCCTCTCCCGACCTCTTTCCGCTGCAATTCCTCCAACGTGGCCTGACCGCCACCGCTGGGTGGCGTACTCGGGATCGGGGTGCCCGCTGGTTCAACAACCTCCTCTCCACGAGTGTCAGCCCTGCGCTTTTTTTGGCGATGCGCTGAACATGTGCGGACTGCTCAGCTTTGATCCGAACGATGGTGGCAGGACATATCCAAACAACTTAGATGACGGCACTTTGATGCCTGCCTGCAGTGAGGCTTTCCTACGAGCGAACTCCTCCGAATATGATGGCAATAATTCGTATTGGCTGTTGTCGATTGTTAGCAGCACGTCATCGTCGACCAAAACAAGCCCTCCACTGCTTCCTGCAATGATGTCACGCAGGCTGATGCCCCCAGCAGCGGGGGGAGGGCCAGCACGGTCAGGACGATTAACCGACTCGTACAACTCTTGAACCAACTGTTTATGTGTATTGTCCTGCTCTGCCAGCTCCACGTGAGCGGCCGAGAGCTTCTCCTCGCATTGAGACAACCACTGCCTAGCCTTCTCGACATTGGCGATGGCGTTGCTGAGGCGCTTCTCGTGGATCTGGGCTTTCTGGAAGGCCTCCGCCGCTTGACGCTCCAGCGGCTTGACTGCAGGACCTTTGGACTCAGCGTTCTTCTGTTTGCTCCACGCCTCGTACTGCTTCCGAGCCTGCTTGTCGCCGAACTTGACGGCGATGCCCGGGAGAGAATTGATCTCCTCGATGGTGATGTCCTTTGGCATCTCGTTCTCATTGTTGGAGCCTGGGAGGATTTCTCTGCCAAGCCCCTTGCGGACGAGGAGCTTCAGACACCTCCACATCAACACGACACCGAGCACCATGTTTGCACCACTGGAACCAATGCTGACTGTTGGCGCAGCCGCAGTCGGGGTAGGAACATTTCCAGCGTCGATGCTCATGAGAACAGTGGTCATCAACGTAACTGCCGTCACGGTACGATCAAGGTTGGGCTTTCCCAGACACGGCGATAAATCGCAGATGGTGGGAAACAAACATGCCGAGCCAGAAACGGCCCGCCGTCACCCAGCCGTTCTGAAGCGTCGGTGACGGCAAGCTCAGGAAAACACCTGAGCCAGAACGGCTTAGGGACGTCTGGGAAGGGGACCTGGGACGGGTGTGTTGCAGCATCGCTGATGCACCCTCAGATCCTCCCCCTCCTCCTTCTTCTCCCTCCTCCTCCTCCTCCTCCTCCTCTCCTCCTCCTCTTTCTCCTCCTCCTTCTCCTCCTCCTCCACCTTCCTCCTCCTCCTCCTCCTCCTCCTCCTCCTCCTCCTCCTCCGAATCGATGCCCAGACCAGTCCTAGAGGGCGTTCTGGCCGCGGCTCGAGGCGGAGACGCAGCCGTGGCCACGAGGCCGCCCTCCTCCGGCGGCCCAGGAGCGGAGGAGGTTTTCGTCCTCTCCCTCCCCGCTCCCTCTCCCCCTCTCCGCCTCCCCGCTCTCCCTCCCCCTCTCCGCCTCCCCCCATGCTCTTCTCGATCAGAAGGGGCGATGCTCCCCCCTCCCCCTCCCTCCTCCCGCAGCAGAAGCGGGCCCCCCTCTCCCTCGCCCTCTCCCCGTCTCTCGCCCAGCAGAGGGAGAGAGGTCCGAGCCGTCCCGCGCGCGCGAATGCCTGCCGATAGGACCTGCTCCTCCGAACAACACCGCGGGCTCATGTTCTCCGCAATGGTCAGGACCGCGGACTCTTCGTCGGACTTCTCGTCTCCGTCGTCTGGCGGCGCGATGGACGAGGGGGACGAGGTGGAGGAGGAGGAGAACCAGAGTGAACCAAAGACGCATCCAAGATGGTGCAATCAACCCTCTCTCCAAATTCCCTCTTCATCGGTACTTGTTTTCATTGCGGGAAATAGCCGACCCATTAGAAAACAACCGTATGAGAATCCCCAATCGTGCCAACACGCTATTCCTGAGACTTGAACGCCGCGGATCAACGTCCTAAATGTTGCTAAAACACCATTGCTGGAACTTCAACACAACGAATCAACGTGCCCGCTGCGTCCTGACGATTCCAGACCGTGCCAAAACACTATGACTTGATTCCAACACTACAAATCCTTGCAGCTGTAGCAAGCAAACTGTTAAGAACAATGTGCGCGGCGCTAATGCGATAGCCACATTTTGAAAAGGAGCCGCCCTCGATCCTTGAAATCGGTGCAAACTTTGAAAACTAATGCGCGCGGCGCACAGGCGAGAACTGCAGTGTGAAAACGACCTGTCCTCCATCTGTGACGCCGACGAATGCGCGCGGCACTGAAACGAGAACCACGTTTTGAAAACGACCCGCCCTCCATCCGTGAACCTGTTGCAAATTGCAAGCTTAATGTTCATAGGTGGTGGGATGTCTCACGCGAAACGACCAGCGAGCCCTACCGACACGCCTAGGGGTGCGGCAGGAAGGAGTCTGTTACGGAGGAAAAGGAAGGATGGGAGAGGAGGAAGAGGAGGGAGGAAATGACTACCTCCCAGACCACCCCAACCCAACCCGAAGACCCGAATTTCGGGTTGGGGGGGGTAAGGGTTCCACATGTGTTTTTTCGACGTTTCCCGACCCCCCCCCCACTGGAAATCGAGGGTAAATCTGAGCCTTCGGGTTGGGTTGGGGTGGTTTGGTGGGTGGTGAGGAAAAAGCAGGGGAGGAGGAGAGGCTAGGCGGCGGAGGAGGAGCAGCGAGACGAGGAGGAGGCGGAGGGCGGAGGATCCGGAGAGGGAGGCACCGCTGCCCGCCTTGCGGGCGGGGACCTCCGCCCCGCCCCCGTCGCAGGGGAGCAGAGGGGGGGGGGGTCCCGCAGCGGGCGATGGGGCCAGGCGCGGCGCCCGCGCAGTGCCCACCCCCACGGCGAGGCGCCCGCGGTGCAGCCTCGTCAGCGGGCGCCACGTCGACAACACGAAGGATTGCAAAAAAAAAACAACCAAAAACCAAAAAAAAAAAAAACACGGATTGCAATCCTTGGTTTTTTTTTGTTTGCAAAGCTACGAAAGTATGCTGGCGGCACCGACTCCGTGTGCTGCCTGAGACGGCGACGCGCCGCCTGTCGGAGATGGTCGCCCTGCGCCGTTCGGTCGTTGTGTCTTCCTTCCTTTGCCTCTGAGGTGTCCCCGCTCCAGCCTGGCGAAGGCCAGGAGGAGGGTCATCGAGGGCCTCGGGCTCGCAAGTGGAAGCCCGAAGCAGGAACCGGAGGAGGAGGAGGACGAGTAGGAAAACATGATGAGGCGAGGAGGACCAATGTAAACCCAAGACTCACCAACGATGTTGAAATAAACCTTCCCTCCAAGATCCGTTTGCGTAAGCCCCTGCAACGGTTCATTTCCATTTGGGGAAGTGCCGAATTGGCAGACAACTGATAGGAAATTTTGAAGCGTGCCAGAACACCGTCCTCCGGACCCCAACGCCGCGAATCCACCTGTCAGCTGCGTCTTGACGGCCCTGAATCAATCTGCCTGTTGCGTTTTCAGCGTCGCGAATTACCGCAAGTGTTGCGCCACGACAGTCCTGAACCGCTCCAAAACAACAATTTTGGTGGGCTTGCCATGGGAACCCGTGAAACAACTGCAAATGTTGAAAACGAGTGTGCGCGGCGCTGGAGCGAGAACCGCGTTCTCGGAAAAACGCTCTCAACCCCCGAAACTGTTGCAAATTTTGAAAAGGAAAAAGTGCGCGGCGCTGCGGCGAGAACCGCATTTTGAAAGCGGCCCGCCTTCCATCAGTGAAACGTCTGCACAATTGTAAAGCGAATGTGCGCGGCGCTAAACGGCACGAGCCACATCTTGAAAACTGCCCGCCCCCGATCTGCGAAGCTGCCGCCAATGCTCTGAGCTTCGGGGTCATAACTGTAAAGGGGCCCCAGAACACACAAATAAATACACACAAATAAAAATATTCCCCATATTTTCCTATATTTTCTGGGTTTTCGTCTTCCCCCCCAATTCCCATATTTTCTGGGAATCGACGATTAATTGTGTCTCTGTGCTTTTTTCCCTCCTGATCATAACTGGTAAAGAAATCTCAGGCGCAATGCACGGACCGCCATTACGACTGGCCCCGGGGTGCGACAGGATCGATGCGACTCCGACTCCGCCCCTCCGGAGGTCATTATTACCTCGGGCCCCCAGCGGCCGTTCGGGACGATCCAGGCACCCCAGGAACGCCCGCCGCGAGGCAGCTGCTGGAAAGCATCCCGCGGCTGGACGTCCACCGAAAACCAAGAAAACGTCAGAAGCCTCGCCCTCCTCGCCCCCATCCTGCAAATCCCCTGGGCGGACAAGCGCGGGAACGATAACGACGTTTTCTCACACCGATGCGGTCGACGCGAAGGTTGACGATCAATCACTCGATCGCGACGCGCTCGGTAACAATGAAACTACGACTTTCCTGACCCGCTCACCCTCGTTATAATTAACACCCCCCTCGGCCTGTGCTGGCCGCACCAGTGACGGAGAAGGTGTTGTATCAAAATCGGCGACCAAGGTAAATTGAACATCGACGTGACCTGGATGGGTCACGGTCGAAAAAGCCGGATTGTCAAGCTCAGTTTAATTCGCCGGCCCAGCGGGCCAGAAGCGTGCTAAGATCCCCGGCAACTGGTTCACAATATTTTTGGTTCGCGCGCGCGGGGCGGCCGCTGGGGGCCCCCGGACGAAAAGTACCCCGGCAAGGTCCCGGGAGGAGCCACCATAGCACTCCAGGGGAGGGCCATTTTTCGACACCCCTCACGAGGACCGTGGCCTCCGAGGGGTGAGCCGCAATCGATTGCCCCCCCTCCCGCCCTAAGAGGCCTCCAGGAGCCCCCCAAGAGGCCCTGGGGGCCCCCAAGACGCCGCCAAGGCCTCAGAGACCCCCAAGAGGGCACCAAGAAGCACAATTCATTGTTTTTCCTTGGGTTTTGGGGAGATTTTGGCGTTTCCATCTTTTCGGCATCGCGACGCCTCAAGACGGCCCAAAAGACCTCCCAAATCGCCCTGGGAGGCCCGAAAGGCCTCCGACAGGGCCCCAAGACGGCCCAAGAGGGTTCCAAGACGGCCCACGAGGCCTCCAAGACGCCCCAAGAGGACCCCAAGAACGCTCTGAGAGAAGCCCCAGAGGGGGAACACGCAACAACATTTCGAGCCCTCGGCCCTACGAAGCCCCCAGGAGGCGCCAAGAGGCCCCTTTGAAGCCCCAGGAGGCCCACCAAAGGCCCTCGAGATAACTAATTAGCCCCCAGGCGCCCCACGAGGCTTTCAAGAGCACTCCCATGAGGGCCCCAAAGGCAACATTCACTGCTTTTCCTTAGGTTTTGGGGACATGTTGGCGTCTCCACCTTTTCGGCCCAAGACAGCCCAAGAGGCCCCCAAGATCGCCCTAAGAGGGCCGAGAGGCCTCCGACAGGGCCCCAAGACGGGCCCAAGACGGCCCAAGAGGGTTCCAAGAGAGGGGGAACACCGGCGTTGCGCTGTCAAATGCCCCCCGATCTCAACTATGGCTGAACCCTCTGGCGAAGCATGACATGCTTCCGGCAAACTATTTTACTGCAAACGGAATATCTGACCGACCCTGTGCCAGATAAGTCGCCCCAGGCATTAACGCTTCATGATGATTCGCTTCCACGGGGCGGTCTCATCCACAACCTCCTCGCTGTCACTCACCTTCTCCTGGCGCTTCTGATCTGACTCTGCTGCTAACCCGGTCCAACTCCTCCACTGAGATCCCCGCGCGCCTCTGGTCAGGCTCGCGCCGTGGACCCTCTGCGTTCCACTCTATGACCCTGTTCAAGATCCTGATCGACTGGTCCTCTTCACTCCTGGATCCCAGCCCCAGCCTTCCTCTCGCCTTCACCTCGAACGTCCGTAACTTCTGCTTCGAACCAGTCCATGTCAGGCGCCGCTTCCTAACAGTGCAAACTCGCCACCGCGAACGGTTGACCATATACGTCTGGCGCGACGTCTGAACGCGCATTGAGATGCCAACCCGCTGACGACACCGAAATTCGTAGCGCAATCCACGCTGCAAATGGCCGCGTCGCGCGCGCCGCGCCTGGGCGAGAGAAGCCTCCCCCGCGCGCCGGGCTCGCGGCCCTCATCGGGCAACTTCGCGAATGTGTACTTCTCGGCTTTCGCGCGGAAGTGCGCCCGCATAGCAGAAGTTAAAAAGATCGGCGTGCCCTGATCGCGCTTTCCCTTTCGCACCCTGTGCCTTCAGAAACTGCCGCTGAGCGCGGCAGTTTCTGCGCCTTCAACGGCGGCGCGGCTGCGAAGATGTCTTTTTCTTCTCATTTGTAACTGATCTGTTGCGCGACTAACCCTGAACGGTGTTCTGCGTGGCTCTCCTCGTCCTTCTGGTTTGTTGTCTATCCATATTCCCCCGGTTGGGCGTGCCTGGCAATTGCCCAACAAGCTCCCCGCTTTACCTTGCCGTCTCGTGTGCCCCGTGCTTTTCTCGCTGCCCCTTGTCTTCTAACGTGGCTTTGAGCGTCAGATCTGCGTCTAACTCCGGTCCTGGCGCGCCATCGCGTGCATGCGCCTTTCCGTCCGTCTCGCGTTGAATAACAGTGGCGGGCTTCCTTTCCAGGGGTCTATCTGTTTTGATTCCCCCGCGGGCCTCACACATGCCTTGCGTAGCAATCAGTCAGCCTGTCCGCAGCCTCGGCGCTCGCACTTGCGAGGTTGCGCGCCTCTCATCGCTCGGTAAGTGAAAGCGGTGGCGAGGCTTCTGGGCCTACTCCTGAATTCTCGATC